ACCCCACCCCCACCCCGTCCTTACCTGGGCCTATTCTGAGGCAGAGCCTTAGCATCGACAGCAAACATTTTGGACACAAAGATGATGACGGGCGCGGTGTCTTCACTCCCGCATTTCATAAAAGCTGAGCGAGCGAAAGCAAGCATGTCACTATTTTTTTCTCTTTGTGAAAGATCCAGATTTTTCTGGAGAACAATTAGGGTGTTTTCACTGCGGCATCATCCAAATATGTAAGCAGCCTGTAACCTTTTACAACTACCATAAAAAGTCCATTTGGAAAACCGTAAAACTGCCGGAAAAGAGGAAAAAGAACAAGCAGAATTGGCAAAAACGAGGAAAGAGAAGCAGCATTAACAGGGCAGGAGGAGGGCTGGGGGACGCCGATACGGAACTGAAGCCAGGGGCGGGCTCGCTGCCCGCCACAAGCCCCAATAAATATTTCCCTGGACCCAGGGGAGAAGCGACAGGATCGAGGGATGTGAGCCGAGACCAGGAGCCAGCAGGGAGCTTGTGGGTAAAACACATAAAGACCATATAAGCCGAACCAATGGCCCCCTTCCACGGAGGACGTGGGCCCCAGGCACCCTGAGCGCATGAGCTGACCCGCAGGCCCCACGTGCCCACAGAGCTCGCACCCCGCGGGGACCTTTCTCGGGGACCCACCCTCCCACACACATAAAGACCATATAAGCCGAACCAATGGCCCGGGACACCGGGGGGTGAGGGCATGAGCGGGGGCGGGGGGCACTCGGGATAAGGACACATATGTAATACCTTCATCAATGAAAAATAGAATATTATAAATAGAATATTAGAAATAATGACAGCAATGTAAAAAACCTTAGGTATAAACTAAGGTCCATTAGTATAAAAGATGTCAATTTTCCCTGAATCTACAAAACCTTTGATACATTTCAATTTTTAAACCTCATCTGAGGATATGTTTAGAGGAAGGATGGTGGGGGGAGAGGGGAGGGAGGGACAGAAAGAGAGGGGGGCGGGAATTCCGTCTTTTAGTTTCACTTTTGAAATGGTTGTTCAAGGCAGCAACCTCCGGTGTTACCCTATGCCGCCATCTGGTTGTGCGAGAGAGAAACACGGACCAGTTGCCTCCTGTACGCACCCCAACCGGGGCTTGCACCTACAGCCTAGTGACTGGGAATGAACCTGCAGCCTTTGGTTGTGTGGGACGACGCTCCAGCGAGGAGCCGCCTGCCAGGGCCCACATCTATAAACTGTTCACAATTCAAAGCACATGTTGACATTTCTTAGCCAACACTGAAGGGATAAAATCGGTTAGTGATTTTTTCTTAAAAATGGCCCCACATCAAGAAATGTTACCCATAAGTTAGCCCACCAGTCAAATTCAAACAAGAAAAAACATTCCGGGAGTCGGAATGGAACACGGTCCAGAAGTCTTGCCTGGGGAAGCCTTGAAAAGTTCGGAGGCCCGGCCTGCGTGGCTCAGTGGTTGAGCGTCGACCTAGGAACCAGGAGGTCAGGGTTCGATTCCCGGTCGGGGCACAGGCCCGGGTTTCGGGCTCCATCCCCCGTGGGGGGCGTGCAGGAGGCGGCCGGTCCATGATTCCCTCTCATCATGGATGATCCTCTCTCTCCCTCTCCCTCTCTGAAACAATAAAAGTGTGTTTCTTTTTAAAGATGAGGGGCATGCGCGTTCCTCTGTCCCTCACCTGCCTTCAGCGCCTGGGTCTCCGGCGGAAGCGAGTCGAACGGCTGTGAACCCGAGCACATGAGCTTCTCCACCCGCTCGGGTGTGATGTCGAGGGGGCTGGGGAGCTTCTGACACACCATGGCTGAGGTCTGCTGTTAAGGACTCATAAATGAATATACTTACTACTACTGAACTGTACATTAAAAAATAAATAAATAAAATTACTTCAGTTAATGTATGCCACTTCATAATTAAGTCTTTTGGGAATTAAAAACATAATGAGGAATATCAACATACTAAAGAAAATATGGTACTAAGTAAAACAGTGATGTAAAACTTCTCAATTATCTACTTATATGTAAATTTTAGTAAAAGGAAAAGTGGCCGAAACCGGTTTGGCTCAGTGGATAGAGCGTCGGCCTGCGGACTGAAAGGTCCTGGGTTCGATTCCGGTCAAGGGCATGTACGTTGGTTGCGGGCACATCCACAGTAGGAGGTGTGCAAGAGGCAGCTGATCGATGTTTCTCTCTCATCGATGTTTCTAACTCTATCTCTCTCCCTCTCTGTAAAAAAAAATCAATAAAATATATATATAAGGGAAAAGTGTCTGTTTTTACAGAATAAACAAAAATAAAAAGGAATATCTTCTTAGAAGAACATACATTTAGACTGGTGTTAGGACTAATACTAATTAGTATTAGTATAAGAATTTTTAAAAAATATATATTTTATTGATTTTTTACAGAGAGGAAGGGAGAGGGATAGAGTTAGAAACATTGATGAGAAACATCGATCAGCTGCCTCCTGCACACTCCCCACTGGGGATGTGCCCGCAACCCAGGTCCATGCCCTTGGCCGGAATCGAACCCGGTCACCCCTCGGTCTGCAGGCCGACACACTATCCACTGAGCCACACCGGCTAGCACAGTATAATAATTGTTACATAGTTTCATAGAACACTAGGAAAAGAACACAGCAAGCTGGGTTGGATCGGAATGCATTATTTCCAGAGGATTTCTTGGTAGCCAGTAACCCCCACCCCCCATTTTGTCCAACGATGACCCCATTAAAAACCACGAATGGAAAGGATACCGAGCACAGCTTGGGAGACGGGCAGCCACTGGCTGCAGATGGCGCTGACCTGGACCTTCGGGTCCGCGTGCCGCGCCTCCCGGGCCCCGATCTTCAACCCCAAGGAGGTGACGATTTTATCAATCTTCTCTTTGTCCCTGCAGCGAGCACAAGAGCGGGGTGGAAGGTCACACAGGCGTGAAGGAGTGGCGAGGACAGGGACCTCAACGTTATCTGACAGCATTTATTCCTTATGCATGACTCTTTCTACCAACAGAAAAGGACTGCAGGGGCTCCCACCACAGCTCGGGAGGCCCCGTCTCCACCCGTCCACTCCTAAAGGATTCTTTCTCTAAAACCAGAGGCCCGGTGCACGAAATCCGTGCAAGGGGCTCGGCCCTCACAGCCCTGGCTTCGTCCCGAAGGTCGTTCGGCTATCCGGTCTAATTAACATATTACGCTTTAATTATTATAGATTTGTCCTGCAGCACCAGACCACAGCCGCCTTAAGCCAACTATGCCGGCGGGGGAAGCAGGGTCACAAACGCATGCTCAGAGGGACCCATCTCGGGAATAACCCAGACACTGAACTCGCCGAGGCAAGCTCTCTTTTGCACTTGTCCCAGCATGTGTGTGCCCAAGGTTCCCATTATTAATGTCTAGCTAGCAGGCACCTTTCTGCTACAATGACTATTTTATTGCAAACTGGGTTTTTATAAATAAAGGTCCAGCCCTGGCTGGTGTGGCTCAGTGGATAGAACATCAGCCTGCAGGCTGCAGGGTCCCAGGTTTGATTCCCGGTCAAGGGCACAGGCCCGGGTTGTGGGCTCCATCCCCAGTGTGGGGCGTGCAGGAGGCGGCCGATCCATGGTTCTCTCTCATCGTGGATGTTTCTATCTCTCTCTCCCCCTCTCCCTTCCTCTCTGACATCAATAAAAATATGTTAAAAAGAAGTGGAACAACCAATTGACATTTCTCTTTTTCTCTCTCAAATCAATAAAACACACAGGTCAATGTTTCCCTCCATCCTTTCATCCCTGCCCCGCGGCCTCTATAAAGCATTCCTCTCCTGTGCCGCCTGCTACGCCTGACTTGGGTCGCACAGGCTCCATGAAATCGCCTCCCAGCCCTGTCCCCAACTCATCAGGGCTCTCTCCTCACGTGCCCCGTCTCTCTCAGCTTCCCCAAGCAGGACTCAGACAACTGGAAACTGAGGCACATTCTACCTCCCCAGAGTCACCAGTTTTGTAAGTCTTACTTTTTCAAGACAGCGTCGTACAAACTCCATATATTCTCCAGGATTAACTGCACGAATAACGGCTTCTTTCCTTTCGCCTGTAAAAGAGAACGAACCCGCTCCGGTTTCTGCGTACTTGATAGGGGATCTTAAATACTCATCCTTTATTGTTGTTGTTGTTGTTAATCCGCACCTGAGGACATTTTTCTTTTTTTTTAGAGAAAGCGGAAGGGAGGGGGAAAGACAGGGAGAAACACCGATGTGAGAGTCACATCAATTCGTTGCCTCCCATGTGCACCTCGACCAGAGCCAGGGATCAAACCTGCAACCGAGGTACGTGCCCTTGACCGGAACTGAACCTGGGACCTCGTCAGTCCTTGGGCCGACATGCTATCCACTGAGCCACACCGGCCGGGGCTTAATACTCATTCTTGACATGTTTTATTAACACGCCTCATTTCTACTAGAAGATATTTACTCAACCGCAGAGGGGAGGAAGGAGGTACAATAACCCACCATTCTCTCCCTGCGGGAACTATCGGCTTCACAATGATGAGACCGTTTGGGGGACACGTCACTGTGGAGGCCCTCCTGCGGCCATCAAAACACCACTGAGTGCCCAGTGGAGAGTGAACACGTGACTCTGCAGGTACACCCTCGCCATGAACTTCATGCTACAGAACATTATCATTATTTTTTTTTTAAATATATTTTATTGATTTTTTACAGAGAGGAAGGGAGAGAGATAGAG